GGAATCCATCGGATTCGGGTCCCATGTCCATCCCTACCTATAATCACCCTTTTATTATTATTATTATTACCAAATAAAATATTACCAAGTCCATTAAATACATATCCATATAAAAATGTTTCTCAAAGCCCAATCAGAAAATCCAAAGATAAACAGGCCCAGCAGCAGCCCATGTGTAGAAGGAAGACCAACCAGGGTTTTCTAGCATTACTCCTCAGCCGCCTCATCACAATTGATGGATCTAAAGATGATCTGACGGTCAAGATCAATGCACATATAGGGTTTCCCAAACCCTAATATATTCCAATAGCCGTTAAGCTTAATCCCAATCGTCGGCCACCTCGTATCCAGCCGTGCCGATCTTTGAAGCCGCCATCTCCATTCGAGTCGAGACCATTAATATGACCCACGTGCGACCAAGCCCTCCTCGTCAGACGATTATGCACCTCGTTAGAATCCACAATGGACCAGCAACAGAAAATAGCAAAATATTATAACAAAGGACAAAGTTTCTCTCCTTTTTTTCCCCCTTTTTTCTTTTTTGTAACCAAAGGAGGAATAATAAGAACCCCTTCCCAAACATATATTTTTTTTGTCGAGACTTGAAAATCGAAAGAAATAAAAGAAAATACCCGAAGGTCTCTTCCTTTCTCATACGTAATCGATTCCTGAACATATATTTTAAATTGATTTTTTTCTTAAAAATTATTTTATAATATATTTTTAGGTATTTAATCTGCTTAATTCAAAGATTGATGGTGACTCTGAAATTTATTTATTCTCAAAACCACATAGTTTTTCAAAAGTCGTACTAATTTTTATTTTGTTATAAAAAAATGATGTCTATAATCCCAAATTTATAATTCTTTCCTAACGTGGTTTTTTGTATTTTTATGGTATAATGAAAAAATTAGCCCTTCAATGTCGGTTAAGATGATCACTTTGACACATATTTTTTGGATCTTAAAAGTTTAAATTTTTTGTCAAAATAGCTCTGGTTGAATATAAACCGTTAATTAACTAACTGTTAAGGTATATTACTAGCATAATATATATATATAATGTAAACCGTTAATTAACTAACTGTTAATGTATATTACTAGCATAATATATATATATATATATATATATATATATATATATATATATTTATTTAATTGATAATATGATATATACCACATCACCTAATATGATGATATGATATACATCACATCACTTAAGGTAATGACATGATATATATCATATCATTAATTAATTATATGAGAAAATATTACATTAATAATCGATTTTTTTCAAATAAGGTTATTTTGATAAACAATTAAAACATTTAGGATTAAAATATTAAAAAGGAATAAGAGTTCCGTTGACAAAAGTTGAGGATAATTTTGTTAGAGAAAATAACTTCAGTGACCAAAAATCCTAGATAATATACGATTTTGACCAACTTTTTTTGGATTTGTGAAAATGACCAACAAAATCGCAATGCGATCTCTAATTCGTATTGCGATCTCCACTATCGCAAATTTGCATTGCATTTCACGTTGCGATAGTTGAAAATCGCGTTGCGCTTTTCCATTTCGCGTTGCGATAGTTGAAAATCGCGTTGCGATAGTTAAAAAAAAGATTTTATTTCTTAAGAATTTTCTCTAAAAAGATAGTATCCGCGCGGACGTGTCGAAGACACGTATTACCACGACCACGACCACGACCCGACCCGAGACGAGACGGACGGCGACGGCGGCGCGAGAGTCCCCCTTGTTCTCTATCACTCAACAAGAAAGTGGGAAAGCCAAGCCTTAAATATCATTCCCAATAGTGTTTCCAATACTATGTGGGATTTGAGCATTACCAACACTTGTTCCCAATACTATGTGGGATTGAGCCTTAAATATTGATATTATTTTTGAATGTTTTGCTTAAAATTGCAATAATCGCGATTGATTGTAGATTGACTTTTAATTATGACATATTTAATCGTATAATACTAATGTAATTGGTTGTTGATTCAGTTGTTTTAAGGTGCATGATTGTTGATTGTTTCCTGAATAATCACATTGTATTGGAAACAAGTGTTGGTAATGCTCAATCCCACATAGTATTGGAAACACTATTGGGAATGGTATTTAAGGCTTGGCTTTCCCACTTCCTTGTTGAGTGATAGAGAACAAGGGGGATTCTCGCGTGCCGCCGCCGCCGTCTCGTGGTCGTGGTCGTGGTCGTGGTCGTGGTCGTGATAATACGTGTATTCGACACGTCCGCGCGGATACTATCTTTTTAGAGAAAATTCTTAAGAAACAAAATCTTTTTTTTTAACTATCACAACGAATTTGAAAAATCGCAACGACAACTGTAGACTATCACAACGCGAAATGGAAAATCGCAACGCGATTTTCACTATCGCAACGCGATTTTCAACTATCGCAACGCGATTTTCAACTATCGCAATGCGAAATGGAAAATCGCAACGAGATTTTCAACTATCGCAACGCGAAATGCAACGCGAATTTACGATAGTGGAGATCGCAATGCGAATTAGAGATCGCAATACGAATTCACGGAACTCGCAGATTATTAATTTTTTCTTTATCTTTGTTGCCTTTCTTTACTAGTATGCATTGTTTCTGAGGTTATTTTGCAGGAAAAGAAAATTCCTTGTAGAGGCAGAAAATGGGAATGGATCAAGGGACTGGTGGGCAGGAATGTTTAAAAATATCTGATGCGATTTACCTGTCAACCCGGTTAAAAAATATCGATTATTTATATTTAAAATATCTGATTTTTAGGATTGGGTACCCAACTCGCTAAATTTATAAATTTTCGGGTCGGGCTCAATTCACAAAATGTTGCTTAACCGGGTATCCACCGACCTGGTACCTGGTTTATTATATGTATTTTTATTTTATATTAAATTTTTATTTATAATTTTAAAATTATTTCACTCTAACATTTTAAATTTTAATTTCTTAAATTATTTCATATTAACATTCTATTTTTAAAAAAAATTATTTTATATTTTATGTGTAAATTATATATTATAGACATTTAAAGTTTAGAATTTTAGAAATTTTCTATATGTATAGTTTTTAAAAATAATATAATTTAAGAAAATAAAAAAAAAATTATGACCCGAGTACCCGTCGAAAATATGGATACCTGGATGTAATGAGCTGGGATACAGGCCGATATTTTGGTACCCGAAAATTTCGAATAATAAATATTTCGGCTAGCCAAAAATGTGTATCATGTTTTGAACACCCCTACTAGCAGGGATAGTGGTCAATTGAAAACTTAAAAGTATCATAAATTTTAGATTTTTGTAATGTACTTTTTATTGAAAATTTATTTTAACTTCAAAATTTTATAAATTCGTTCGTTTCTATAATTTAAAATTTTACCTCTTTAACATAAAAATTTCCATTCGTCCTTATAGATAATACGTATTATCGTTCTTGACACAAGGAGCAAAAATGAAAAGAAAATAGAAGGTAACAAACTATTAACTAACTATCATTTTATATTCTCTATTAATACCTTGATTTTATTTTTTTAATGTAAAATTTAAGTCCGTCCATGTTTATAAGCTTTTGATTCCATTAAGGATCCGATCCATGTTTATAAGCTTTGGCCCTTTGGCTAAAATGGTGAAAATCATTTTACACCCCTCTTAAGAAATTCGTAATTTCATTCTTGGCCCTCTCAGTCTTTAAATAAAAACAACCTCTGGGTATCCTCTACATGTTCTAATAAAAATTTCAGTTAGATCGAGTCAAAATTATACTACTAATTAATTGATTCAACTTTGTCATTTAAAAATTAAATTGATTCAAATTTGAATACAAAATCCAATTGAAAATAATTGTTTTTAAATCAATTAAGATCTGTTCGATGAAGTATTTTGAAAATAAAGCTATAAACGTAACTAACTAAAACAAAATATTTAATGATAATTAAATCCAAACAAATTCATATACAAATCATTCCTTTTGAAAATGGGATTTGCGTTCCTTCTCATTCTAGTCCTTGGCCATTGAAAAAATACAAATTATTTTAAAAAAACATTAGATATAAATAATTTATCAATTCATTATAGGCTTAAATATAAAACAATTGCTCAAATTATAGTGTTTTCATAAATGTTTGCCTAAATTATTTTTTGAATGATCCAGATGCTTAATGTTACAAACGTTACCACTTTATGTGTTCGGGTCATCAACGGCGTTAATTTCCTTCGGCAAGTGATACATGTCACAATATGGTAATTTTAAAAATTTTATTGAAAATTAAAAAAATTAGTATTGTATTTAAAAACACTTAAAATTTGAAATAACCCAAAACTTTGAAAACCTTCATTTCAACTCCTAAACCCAAGTCGGTCGCTGTCATTTGCCATCGACGAACCTCCACCCGACCTCACTTGGAAACCAAAACTCATATGGAATCGTGATTGATCGACAAAAAATATACATTTTATACCTCACGAAACCTAAGATGAAAATCGCAATCCCATGCGATTTCAACAGCCAATCAACGACAACGACGACGACGACGACGTATGACTAGGAGAATGACATGGACTATATCAACGACGGTGGTTGTGGCCGAAAAGGAAGGTGGAATATAACTATATTTTAAATATTTTTATAAAAATAAACTTTAAAATTATCAAATTATAATACGTGTCACTTAAAAAAAATTAAAGTCATTGATGATCCAGATACCTAAAATGATAACGTTTATAACATTATACACTGAGATCATTCAAAAAATAATTTAGTTACCTATTCATAAAAATCACTATAATTGGAACACTTATTTAATATTATTTGTCTTAATTAAATAATATTAATTTCCACTTTTCTTCAATTGATACTAAAGCAAGTATGAGTTGCCGTTTTAGAGAAGCCGTGGATTTAGGGAGTCGGTCTGGGTCACATGCTGAAGCCAGTGGTTTTATGGTTCTAACGCGTAAACCCCAAGAATATCCGGACACATGGAGCATAAGCCCCTTGGTTTCGTCCCCAAAAACCATGGGTGCTTCACTTTAAAAGCAACCCATCCTTCAGATTCACCAGCCAAATCAACCCAAAATCCCAGTCTTCGATTTCATCACAAAAAAAAAAACCCAATCTTGAAGCGATGAGCAGTGGAGCAGTAGCAGCAAGCAAAGCCTGGGTGGTGGCTGCAACAATAGGAGCAGTGGAGGCATTGAAAGACCAAGGGATTTGCAGGTGGAACTACACTCTCAGGTCTCTTCATCAACACGCCAAGAACAATCTCAGATCTTCTTCTTTCTTTTCTTCTTCTTCCTCACCTGTTGCTGGTGCTGTTTCGAATAAGCTGAGAGAGGAAAGGAGGAGGAAAGCTGAGAGGAATATGAAGAAAGTCCTGGAAATGAACTCTTGGGGCCCTACCACTGTTAGGTTTTAGGATTATTAGGATTTTTCTTTTTGCCTGTTATGTATCAAATGATGAAATGTGAAAATTTTAATCTAAATTTGGATTGTAATTTGTTAAAACATTCTTTTGTTTCGATTTCCAATATATTGATTATGTTTAGGGAAAAGGACGCCCACGGATCTCTGTTAAAAATCGGTTTAAAAAAAAACAAGCATTTGGTTTTCCACTCTTTTCCCTTATAATAATCCCAACCCATTTCCCTTCTCAAACACAAAATCAAGTATCTGAACCCAGAAATTTTCCGGGAAATTTTCAGAGAAAAGGAAATCTTCAACAATGAGCGGTGGAGCAACAAGGAAAGCCTGGATGGTGGCGGCAACAATAGGAGGAGTGGAAGCCCTCAAGGACCAAGGAAATTGCCGGGAGGATTACACGATTAGGTCGCATCGCCAAGATGGGAAGAACAGTGCGATAACATATGCTCAGGCCACGAGTCTTTCTTCTTCAGCTGCTTCATATGCATTGATGAATGAATCTGAAGTGAAAATGAAGAAAGTTATGGATTTGAGCTGTTTTGGTCCTAATACTATTAGATTTTGAATGTCGATGTCACCAAATACTAAATTATTCCGACTTTTAACATCAACTCTGAGAATATGGTAACTCGTATATGTAACAAATACTAAATATTTATCCCTAATTTTTATTCGCATGGAAATTACATACTAGTACAATGAGAATAAATTACTTTACTTACATTTTAGGGGTGTTTGGTTCAAGGATTGTGAGATTTTCATGCCCATGTTTGGTTGGCAGGGAATCTCATTCCCGGTAATGTTTTATTACCAATAGTAGATTTTTTGGGGTATATTACTGGGAATGTAACATTACCGACGTTTTAGACTAAAATACCTTTAAATTATTATTTTTTTAAAAAATATTTTTCTTCTGTCATTGAATAATAAAAATTCTACGAATGTTAAATTACAAATTTATCCTTAAATTATTTTAGATTTATAAAAAAAAAAATCTATAATTAAAATTTTATATGAAGTTCAAGGGTTAAAAAAAATTTTACCCTTTCATTAAACTTTTTTTATATTTTTAATTTTGTAAAAAAAAATTATATAAATATTATGAATTTAATTTTTTAAAGAAAATATATAAATATTTTACAATTTGTAATATTATACAAATATATAATAAGGACAATTTGATCAAATATACATTCCAATAATCTTTTATTCATTTAACCAAACACGGTAATCTTACATTCCTGCTAAACCAACCAAACATAAAATACAACATTCCCAATAATCCTATTCCCTAGTAATCTTTTATTCCCACTGGTAATCTTACATTCCGTGAACCAAATGCACCCTTAAATTATTAAAATAAGATTATTATGTTTCATGAAAACTATAAGTTAATTCAATTAGACAATATCATTCGATGCTACTATTAAATATTTAACTTAAAAATAACAGACTAGGAATTTATATACAATTAATACAAGTCTTATAGATATAATTATTTGAATTTAAAATATTTAAAATAAATAATAATCTTTTTAATCGAAACATTTTATTAGAGATTATGTGCTGTTAAACATAAACTAATGATCACTTGTTCTACATTAAATTAAATAATGATACACGAAAAAGTTCATGTGTTTAGTGTTAAGCGCATAAAAGTATTGTATTTTCTACCCTTTCACCTATAATTACTGTTGGATTTAGGTTTGGTCTAGTTACATTATTAGTCATTATTGCATAATTTCATAGTTTACTTCATCATTAAGTTTGATATTGTATTGTAGTTGATTTTGTGGAAAATATATTGTCGGTGTGTGTCAATTTGTGCAGGATAATGTTGATTGGATAAATTCACCTCATCTAAGTCAAACTTCACAAAACAAGGGATAAAACCTAGAAATTTAGATTTCTATGCATAAATTAAAGACTTGTTTAAAGATAAATATAAATATAAATATAAAAGAGAATTAATTATTCTTTTATTCCAACTAAAATTCTTCTTCAACAAGAATTAATTTGGCCGACACATCTCCTATAAATAGGGAACCAAGACGATCAAGAGAAGATCACTTTCACTTGTCCACATGGTACATACGTATTCTGAAGGATGCCATTTAGACTCTGCAATGCCCCGACAACTTTCCAAAGATGCATGATGGCGATGTTTTCTAACATGTTGGAAGACTATCTTGAAATCTTCATGGATGACTTTTCAGTTTTCGGAGACAATTTTGACAATTGCCTCAACAATTTGAAAAATGTATTAATACGATGTAAAGAATCCAATCTAGTATTAAACTGGGAGAAATGTCACTTTATGGTAGATAAGGGAATCATACTCTTCCACAAAATATCATCTAAGGGAATCAAAGTGGATAAAGCTAAGGTGGACGTAATTGAAATATTGTTGCCACCCATTTCAGTCAAAGGAATCTTAAGTTTTCTCGGACATGCATGTTTTATAGAAGATTTATTCCTAGTTTTTATAAGATCTCTAAACCCTTGTGTAATTTGCTTGAACATGATAAAACCTTTAATTTGATGAATTACATGTCTCAACCTTTGAAATTTTGAAGAAACAACTGATCACATCACCCACTGTCGTTCCACCTGATTGGTCACTGCCTTTTCAACTCATGTGTGATGCTAGCGATTTTGCGATAGAAACAGTACAGAAAGGTAAATTTTTTCATGTGATATACTACGCTAGTAAAACCCTTAATGATGCTCAATTAAATTACACCACAACAGAAAATGAATTACTAACAGTAGTTTTTGCCTTTGACAAGTTCCGTTCCTATTTGATTGATATAAAGGTAATTTTCCATACTGACCATTCAACAATTAAGTACTTATTTGCTAAGAAAGATGCCAAACCTCGTTTAATTCATTGGATGTTACTTTTACAAGAATTTAACATTGAGATTAAGGATATGAAAGGATCAGAAAACCAAGTTGTTGATCACTTGTCAAGGTTGGAAGGAAGAAATAGAGAGGATGATTCATTGGAGATCAATGATTCATTCTCGAATGAGTAGGTGTTTGTAACACCCCAACTCGTATCCAACCCGGCTCCGAGTCTGAGGTGTCACATTGACTTTTCAAACAATCACTTCTACAAAAGACTGAAGAATTTCAAATTTATTAAAATAATTAATTTACAAAACATATCAGAGCGTAAACTATTCAAATCTCTTAATTACATGCCAACTATATACATTAAACAAAATACATACTAATCATTCCTATTCTGATCTGATCCGTGGAAAGAAGAATCTGACATGTCATGCTCTTCTTCGTTTCTCTTCTCGTTTTCCGGAATATACGTGTTAAACACTCACACTCTAAGTCTATGACTTAGTGAGGCATTAAACTTATAAAAGAACCTCTAACTATTTAAACATGGGCATTAAACTTATAAAAGAACCTCTAACTATTTAAACATGTATGAACATATCATCTCATGATGCCACACAAAACAACATAACATTATATATAATGTAAGGTATACATATTACACCTTATTTCCATCACTAACCTTATTCCACTATCAATATTATTATCAATATTATTATGAAATGACCGTCCAGCTCAGTTGGTAGAGCGCAAGGTTCTTAACCTTGAGGTCGTGGGATCAAGTCCCACGGAGGGCATTTCATAATTCGGAGGTCTCCCACGGAAGCTGCTCTCAACCCGACGTTGGGGGCAGCCTACTATCTTACCTCCCCCTTACCCCATTACATATGGGAATAAGGGTCAACTAACTTATCAGATCTTCTTATACCTAATATTTTAATCAACATATGACTCATTTAACCTAAGCAATACACACATCATCATATAAATCATATAATATAATTCATATCACAAAAACATATACATCACATGTAATATATTTATTGTTATTTCTTTGTTAGCCCATGTACATATGTGAGAATTAAAGATATGTGAGTACATAGAGGTTGTGCACTATGTTGTCACCACAGCTTGTATAATTCCCACTAGGGGAGCGTAAAATTTGTTTCGTAGGACCACTATGTCCCGAAGGACCATTATATCCCGAAGGACCGCGTAGAACCATCGACTCTTGGCATGCCAACTATACCCCTAGCTCTCATGACACATAGCATGGACATTATCATTCATCTCATTTCATATATTCATATAAACACGTAATTCACTTTCACATATCATGTAGCTTATGTCACATAACTTGGATAACATATATTTATAGCCACGTAGATCACTTTTGCATAACTTATATAAACTTTTCATGTCATTTCACATTTCTTGTCACATTGCGTATATCTTATTCTTATGTTTTCCCATATTCATATATTCACATACCTTAAAATCATATAGCTTATACCATTCATACATAGTCACATAATTCAATATTATATGGTTTATATCATATTCACATATAATCATATAGATCATTTTTACTATTACACATGACTTATCACACTAACAGACACTTATACAAATCATGTAACATACATAGTAACATGTTATCACATATATTCATGCACACATATGAATCATAACAAACACATGATTATATCTATGAACTCATACATTCTACTATAGGAAATAGACTCATCGCAAGTCATATTTCCATTAACATCAGATACCAATAGGATGCACTCACCTAACCTCACTAGTCAATATCGAGCACTTATCAATCTTTGTCTTTCCCTCGATCGATCTTACTCACCAATTGTTCCGGAACTCGTTTAGGCTTAATATCTACATAAACATAGATTCCAAGATAATCATCAGAAGCCTAAACATCATAACGCGATTCTAATAACTTAAGCTAGTTGATGAACATAATTTATATTTTCCATTAAGGGGGTAACGGTACACTAAGGGTGTATCGGTACCCAAATTGGGTTCGAAATTTCTATGTATCGATACATGCATGTGTGTATCGATACATGCATATGTGTATCGATACATAGGTATCGGTACACCTCTGAATGTATCGATGCACCTTAAAGTTGTTCTTTAAATTTTGGTCTTAGTGTATCGATACCTATTCATAGTGTACCGATACACCTGCCCAGAATAGACTGTTTTCACCCGAAAATCATCAATACTTCACCCAAATTTTCATGTATAAAACCCT